ATACTTGCTGCATTTGGCTCTGTAGTCAGACAGTCCCAATAAGTGAAAAAATGCAAGAATACTGTTCATTTCTATGTTGTTAGTCTATGAATAAAAATTCCTGGAGCCGCCGGTTGAGGAGGCTGGGGTATAGCACGTTGTAAAGGATAACAGCTGTCAGTTCTTAGAGCCGTGGAACAATATACATTGTTAACTGTTTGTCTATCTGAGCGTTAACCATGACAATGTGTGATGCTTGTTTATAATGATATACACAAGTGCTGGGTCTTGCACTGGTAAACAGGGGGTCGTGTCATTTGACGTATGGGTTCGAGTTCCACCTGAGTGAGCGAGTGAATTTTTTCGCAAGCTCTCAGACCCTGTATATAGTGTTCTGAGTATACATGTACGAAGGGCAAATACACAAAGTTAAACACACAGCACGGCTTCGTCGAACATGTACGTGGCTGGGTGGTTTACGATGTGCGGAGCCTGGGGGAGGGGGCTTGTGGGGTGGGTGGGGGTGGGTTCAGTGCCCCCCTCTATGGGAGGAGGAGGGGGGAACTGAACTCCTTCGGTAACGTGTAGGCTCCCTACTTGTACTATATCAAATGTCAATCCATTGCCATGTGATCGAAACGAGTGCACATGGGGATTTTGCTAGCTTGATAGTCCGGGAGCCCGGGGGGTCAACCTAGCTGAAAAGTTAACCAATTTTCATGTATATAGCGCAGGTCCACGTGCATCCCTATATAAGAAAAGGGGTGTCTGCCGAGCTCATTCTGGTGGGTGTGCTTGAAAGGGCCACGAGAAGGGGACCCCCAAATTGAGCTAGATCAACTGGGGAGTTAACCTAACGAACCTACTGGGAAATGTTCAGTATGATTCCATGTATCATGAATCCTATCTACCAGACATATTTGGCAGTGGACTTACATAACCTGTACCCTAAAATTGAGCTAGATCAGCTGGTGAGTTAACCTCATGGAACTTTTTGGAAAATGTTCATTGGAGTCTTGGGCATCATGAATGGCCACTACCAGACATTTGTTGTGGTGGGGTGTGCCCACCAGACACGTTCTCTATTGGCTCGTATGATTTGTGTCATCAGAAATAGGTCGGTTCGGTACCAAAGCTGGTAATCATGAGATAAATGTTTGAGCCTAGTCTGGCTACAACTACAGCTGAAGACTCCCTACGACTCCAGTCCGAATTTATGAAGCCCGAATTCGAGTAAATACATTACACGATGTGGGTGTCGAGTATGGCTCAAAGTATTGTTTAGTTGTAGTCTGAGTAGGCCTACTGTCGAGCTGAAGTATGTACGCGCAGCTCGAGTCCAAATGCCTTGAGTTTAGGACTTGAGTCTGAGTGAGGTCAAAAGGTATTTGAGTCCTATGGAATAGGTCACGGTCCAAATCCTATTAATTAACAAGCAATTACTCTTGAGTCCCGACCAATGTAAACAAAACATTCACTTTTATGTATGTGCGTTCAAACTCAAGTACGTTTATCGATTTTGTTCTCACTGCGGTTTCTTTATCGCCCGGGTGTGTGGGTGTGCGCCAACCTTACGTACCTAGTGTGGACTTGTGAACAAAAGATGTCCACACGATGCAGGAAAGGAAGACGTTCTGTGGACTTACACACGTCCACAGGACGTTACCCCTTCTCTGAAGAAGTTTAGAGGCATTTGGGGGGTAGGGGTCATCCGTCGTAAAAGGAAGAGGAATAGTCAAGGAAACCTTGTACAAAAAGCCAGCTGAAAATCGTGTTCCCAGTTCAATAAAAACGAATATTTTCACTGGGTTTTCTTAACTGCACTAAAAGAAGGGAATGTCCACACTAGAAATGTAAGGTAAGTGTTTGTGTGTTTTTGCATTCTTTTGGGAATGACGGCCCGTAAGTGTTAGGACTTACCCTATAGTTAAGTACAGGATAAATACACCAATCGTAAGCCAAGCCTACATCAAAAACCTCTGACTGCACCAAAGTCAAGCCCGAGGCCGCCGCGGCAACAGTTTATTCCACCGTGTCGCTTTTCGTGTACCCAGCAAACTTAAAGTGTAGCTGCAATGACTTTTTTCCTACACAGTATTTTCTGCAACCTTGTACTCGTCTCCAATGCATGAAAGCTCTTTCACTGCCCAATTTGGTTTCAAATTTTAGTTCAAATTGGAAACTCGGCATTTACTTACTGAAAATATTTCTGAGAAAGGGATTGATGCTTGGTTATTGCTGTGTACATAAACAACAACGAATTATCAAAGACGAGAAAATTTAGTCCAGCAAAATCTACGAAAATTCAGCACTTTTTGCGTACAAGCCAATACAATATTGAGGCTTTCTTCCCGGAAGGACATCACGATTTATCTCCTTAATATGGAAATACTCATCTGTATAAAAACAAAACGGACAGTAAAATACCCTTTGAAATAATGAAAAAAAGGTTGGAAATAATGTTAACTGAGATACAAAGGTGCATTTTAAAGGTTAAATTGAAACAAAATAATAGCTGCGGTTCATTTGTTTTCAATTCAACCTTTAACCCTAACACTCCTCAATCCTCCATCAGGTGAAGGATTGAGGAGGGTTAGGGTTAAAATGCATCTTTGTTTCTCAGTTAACCATATTAAGCAGCATTATACCTGCACCACGGGATGGAATCCTCGATACCGTGCACGATATGGGGTCGATGGGTACCCTCCCACACACACACATCCAAACGTGTAAACGCCTTCAATCTTGGACTCCCAATTGTTCCTCTTTTGTTCATACTTTAACTTTTTCGGAAGACCTCCCGTATGTTTTGTACATGTTTTCCAACTGTGGACTCTTCGGCAACCCCCCTAGAAGTCTGTAAAGAATTCCTGAGATTCCGATCAAACAGTGACCAACAAAAATCAGCCCTATATCTTACAACATAGGAATCCTCTGTCCCTTTACCTATTCGTATGGGCGGCAAATGTTTACAGAAAATCATCTTGATTGGCGTCAGATCTTCCTTCCAAATGCGCCTTTGCTCAGGACTTTTAAAGAGGGCCTTGTTTTATTTAGTAGCAGTATGCCTGGCTGCGCTAATTACATTGTAATTACATTCGGATTTCAGATAACTGCGCAGGCCTATACGATTCATTTTATAACACATGGTGGCTTTGGCTATTCTTTAGCTTTTATACTGAAGGCCAGTCATAGTTTATCGGTCACTAGTTGGAAAAGAGAGAAACATGGCTATGACGTACACAGACAAGGGTCTACATCAGTGCCCAGGAAGAGAGAAGGGAGGACAAACGCCGCATCAAGCAACATAACGACTTGCGTTTCATTACAGTAAGCCATCCATTAAACCGTGTTCGTGGTGTAGCCAACAGCTTTTGCGTGTGCAGGATGCCAGACTCTGAACTCTCAACGAGCACGCATCATTTACCGTACTATATTTAAATAGTCTAACATCGCAGAAAAAGGTCACGCATTGCGATCCATTAACCTATGCTGAAGGCGTAGAAGTTCACCTACAGAAGTATTTTGCCCCTTCGGGATCTAATGCGCTGTACATAGAACTAAGGCAGAAGTAATTTTAATGTACTTCTACGCAATCATGAGCTAATGTCATACATGGTCTCTCGATGTCCTCTACCGCTGCAATATTAAAATGTCATTACCTTCATATCTATGCCTCATCAGAGAGTACACGCAGAGGCACGTCGTGTTTCAGAAGTTCATTCCCGGGCAATTAGATTTCGTAGAGGGCGCCATCACTCGCTTTATTCGAGGGGAAGCACCGAGTACTGAGCCGACACAGACCCGAAAAAGATGATTGTATTTTGGAACAAATTACTTGAAACTAGACCTATTTCAACTGGGGTAGTAATTCACGTGACATCAATGTCGAGGCCCAGAAATCAAGACACTTTGACCCAGATAATGCCTCAATGACTGATTTCAATAACTGAAATAAATCAATGAAGACAACATGGCATCTGTGGCTTTTTACGAATTTACTCCTTACAATTGGTGTGAAATGTTATTAACATGGAATGAAAGTACGATCGTGTGTTTTTACAAGTTCAGTTAAAAAAATAGACATCCTGGTATCAGATAACGAACTAATTCCTCTGTAAGAAAGATCAAATGGACGCCATTATCGTTGGAGTTTTCACTATGTTTTTTTACTGCTGCATGTGCTGCAAGACAGATTTTCGATAGGGCACCAAATGCACATTCTGAAGGGAGGGCGCAATGTAAAATTTTACGGCAAAAAACTGTCTCCGTCCCTCAAATTATAACCTCGATGTTTAGGCTCTCTTGAGAAAAGCAGGGGAATTTTCGTCTTTTATATACCAAGGTGTATTTAAATAACTGCGTTTTAAAAGACCTTTTTTTTCAATTGAAAAAAATCTTATTTTCTTTCTGAGCCTATTCAAAGAAAGATATCTTTGGCCGCTGGCTTTGACTCTTAGGTCGAGTTCGGGCGGCCTGTTCTTGACACAGGTTTCTTGTTCTCGCGCTCGAACGGCGGGAACACGACTCAAGAACAATGTTCTCGGAACAGGATCACACACCACCTCCTCCTCAGGGTTTTACAGGAACACACGGAAAAACTCGGGAGATTTTGATTTTTGAACATCTGCAAAAAGTAGAGAGATGGCTTCCAAAGTCATGGGAAATTTTGCAAAATTAACATTAATTATTTTCCGTAACACAGAAATGAATGTTCCTGTTTCTATAGAAAAGAATTTAGCCCATCCAAACATTAATTCTCGAATAACGTAGCCTACATGGACGCCGCCATGTTGAATGTTGCTTGTCACTAACTACCAGCGATAACCGGTTGTTTGTTCCCGGCGTTCGAGCGACCGACCCCCGGACAACAAATCAAGCTGTTCGTGAACATACGAGAACAAGCCGCCCGAACTCCGGACTTTATGAAGCATTTTCATGCTCATGTTGCAGTTTTCTTTTACACCAAATACAAACACAATTCAGATTCCTTGTACATGTATGCAATTATGCGTATTCTGATCCGAAATCATTACAGAAATTATTATCATAGCCTACATGGGCGTCTCTAGGATTTCCTTTTTCCGGGGAACTGGACCTTTTTTTGGGGGGGGGGAGACCGAGTACTCCTGCAGAAAACTGATCAATCATTAACTGAGCTGCGAAGGGGTCAATTTCAGGGTACTTTCAAGCAACTTGCCGATTTCCATTCCTTTTCCTCCTTTTTCGTTTTTCTCGCTTTACTTTCCGGTTTTATGTTTCATTTTCCCCTTTCTTGCCTCTCCTTGCACGGCGACAAGCAAATTTCTACTTGGTCAAAATGTCAATTATTCTTTTACACAAGGTTTTTCTATCATCTGCAATAGCAGATTCGTAGATTTTGAATATTGGTGTTTTTAAAAACTAATTGAAAATTAAATCTCAAACTGATAGGACTCATTAGTGCGAATTAGCATTTCAACAATATGTTTCAAAAAGACAGATTGCAAATTTGTACGGCGGTTTCACAATAATGCGCCACCAAGAGTTTGCAACGCGTTGGCCAATCACAATGCGCAAAATCTGTCGACCGAATGCGCGTTTGGAAAGGGTCGACAGACTTCGTGATCGACTAACGCGTTGCAAACTCTTGGAGGCGCACTATTGTGAATCGCCCAAATTGATTCACTAATTCCGATGAATGTGTTTGGTGGGACTCACGTCATAGCATAATCGTTTGGACAATTTCCACCTGCTGAAATTTCGAACACTAATCATTTTGTCTCAGGCCGTGCCCATCAAGGTCCGCTTAGGCCCTACTCAGTAAACTAATGATCGTAACTTTAACAAGTTGGTTTCATAGTCGATTGCTAGTACCAGTCTGTTATTGTTAGTACCAGTCTGTGATCACTAGGTACAGCCTTGTTCTCTGTCGGTGAAGGTTACTACCATGACTAGGCACAGCAAAGAGAAAACAGCCTCCCTGCTACATGTTTATAGTTTATGCGCCAATTTCCTTCCTCCATAGGTGCAATGTACCTTCCGTTTATGGGCGTCGCCAGGATTTTTTCCAAGGAGGGACAAACCATTTTCCCAAGGAGGGACAAACCATTTTCCCCGTTGGGTGGGGAATTCAGTGAGGGCAAGCTAGGTCTACTGCTGAAATGAAAGAAGACATGAAGGGGGAGGCAATTCTTTTAATTCAAATCCGTGACTGTCATCCCATTTCCTCTCTTATTTCTATTTACTTCCAACTTTCTTTTGAAATGTTCCTCCATTTTTTCAAGGGGGGAGAGGGGCAAGTGACCCCTCTTGCCCTCCCCTCGCGACGCCCATGCTTCCGCTGTGCAAGACACAAAGGAGGGGCACGCCCATCCTACCTATACCACTTCAGATATGGCCCTTGTGCCCACCACTCTCACTTGAGAATTGCAGAAATAAAACGACCCATTGGCTGAACCCAGTCAGCTCCCCCCCCCTAGAAGAGACTCGACGTGCCCAACTAAGAAACACGTTGGACGTATATTTTAGCGGTAGTGTATCCCTTGACTTTTGTCACGGAAGGAGTAGGCCTACCTTGTTTCTTGTTTACTCAACTTTCGAAATAATTTATTTGGGGTTAAAGGGGTCTGAAAGTTCTACCCTGTGTGGTACGGAAATCGAAATCATAACACAATCAAGCCTTGGAGTTGATCGCAAGCTGGCACGGTCCTGTCACTGACCCCTCAGGTGACCAGGGTACGGTATTCTTTTCCGGGAAGTAATCGGCTGGGTGTGTGTCGCAACTCGCATCGATACGAGCCCTCGGCACGCGTTTGCCAGTCAATTCGCAGCAGCGATCGACAGCTGGCCACACATGTGTTGTCAGTAGGATGTGCATGGCTCCCAGATGGTCTGCAATTGAAGTAAAAACGAACGGTAAAAAGGCTGAAAGATCTGAGTTTTCTAAACTCAGGAATCACAGATTTGCGATGGAGTGGAAATTGGCCTTATGCTGTCTTTTAATGACCATCACGAAGTCTGGTAAGTTTGTTCTTCATCGTTTGTTGCATTTTTTAAAATCCATTTTAAATAGCATCATATTGCATATCACAGTCCATGTTTGATGGGGTTTTTTTTCTGAACGCATTCGACGCACTGATGATCCGAACAGTGACATGACACAAGTAAGATTCTATTCACATGCCTAGTTTCTCGAAAGGAACTGTTAGTTGGACGCCGCTATAAGAAACAAGACAGGGTCCGCACAAAATGTTTGGTATCAAGGACCGATCTAGGGGGCCAATTGGCGCCTTGCCCCTGAGAGAAAAAAGATCAAACAAATGTTCTTCTTTTTATAAATAAGGACGGAAGGGCGATTTTTTTTTGGTCTATTGCATTCCCCTTTCTCCAAAAGGCGTGAAAAGTCTTAAAATGTAGCCTCATCCATGGGGACAAAAAAAAAAGGAGGAGAAGTTTGGCCCTGAGAATTCGGTTCTCGATCTGTACGCTTTTTCCGTCATTCGGTACAAAGGTCGTTCGGTATAGCGATTTTCAGTCGCCGATGCCACTGTTCCCGGCTCTGACCCGCTAAAATATGCGATGGCTTGCTCCACGAATCTTTCTGTATGAGGACTTTGTCAAAAATAAATCACAGCTGCCTAAATTCGTGCATTTTGTTAAATGTATGTTCGCATCCTTCCACAGCAAAACGATTGAAACAGTGTGTTAGGTCACAAAAGCTGATCTGCTATGCATCTTCCGCATGTCTTGAGTTTTTTCGAGGAAAAAATCCATGCCTTTGTAGCGGTAACCAGAACCAAGATTTCTCTGAATCACAGTCATCCGTGTTGCACGAGCGTACTTGGCGATTGCGACCAATTTACATCTACATGGCCGAATGTGGAAGTACACAAACATGTTGCATGTCCATCGTTCTTCCTTGGCGAGAGACCCCAACTTGTTGAATAAATCAACAGTCAAACATGTTTATTTTATTGAAAGCAAATTTTCAATGCTCGGTAAAAGTGCAAGGAAAATTCAGGAGCCAAGATAAATATTCGGTAGGATGATCAGTATATGGCAATGCTTGACAGTACGTCAAAGTTATGCGACCAACAAACCAACGATTTCAAAACGCCGCATGCATGTTTGCCCGCCGAGTTGGCTACGCTTCTGATTTTAAAACTTGATGCCCCTCATCACAGCAGTCAAAAATTGATTTTCAACACCCCTGTAGTCTTCAATTCTGTAACAAAATTTCCTAACTTAAAGGTTTCAAATGGAAACAAGAAGTATCGGGGTCCGTTGCTATGCACAAAGGGTCGTGCGACGCGCGTGGGCGCAGTGCATCCCCGTATGGCGGTTTGGATGGTTTGAACTGTGGGGTGCAGACTACTCTAAGAGGGTGACATGGGTATTTGTCGCCGGGCCACGTGATCATTATGGGCCAATAAAATATAGTATTCAAGACAGTGGTAGAACAATTTTTACTGATAACCACTGAATGATAAACATTATTCAGGGGAAAAGAAAGATTGGAGAAATCCGTTTTCCCCGAGGCTATGATATCGCACACTATCGACAAGAGCTAAGATGCACAATACATAGAGATGTTGTGAACGTCTCATGCAAAGCCACTTTATGTTGAACTAGACATCGCATCGGTACTGCCAGACCCATGCACATTCTCCCTGAACTTTTTTTTCCTAGATTGGTTCTAGACTTTGCAAAACAAAGACCTTTGCAGGCGACCATTCCCTGCTGAAGCGCAGCTTGGTGCGTTGTTTTGTTACTCCACGTGAGACTGTGAATAAAATTGCACTCTCGACGCGCTCTCTCACGGCCATTCACCCTCAACCGACTAGAGACTGTGTAAACAGTTTTTCCTCATATCTTTGTCACCCAGGGGCGCATCTAAACCATTTCGGGGAGGGGAGAGCTTTGGTTTGGGGGAGAGAAAAAAACAAAAATTGGGATTTTTTCATGTAACCTTTTAATTTAGCGGCTGTTCACAGGTTTTTTGAATGAGGTAGAAAGAATGCCTTTCATTATTTTTCATTTAAAAAAATCAAAACAATTGGCTCCTTTTCGAGGGCCATGACCCCGTTGCTCCCCCATCACTTAAAGGTCAGATCCCCTACAGTTTTGAGAAACCTCTTGTCTCGAGTTTGTACGACTCTGATGACATCAGACGCATTTGGGTATTTTTTTGAGGGAAAAGTTTTTTCTTCATTCAGTAGTTTTGCATAATTACGAATGATTGGAAAACTACTATGAGTACACAGTACACAAATTATTCCTGGGTGTTTTAATGTTCTGACTTACATACACTTGGGTGGAAAATACCTTTTTCTTGTTTTTCGCCTGCAAAACCATCCCATTCTGCCCGTTCTAGAGCCATGCCTAAAACTGCGTGTAATGAAACTATAAAAGATTGTGAGAACCAATGTTTTAACTAGGAATTGATATGAAATTACCTGGGTGAAAGGTAACCAACTGTTGAGAAGAAACTGGGACCTACACATGAGCACTGAATTCGATGTTTTGGCCACCTTTGGACACCGACGTATTTATTCTTTTAGAAATGCCGAAAGTGATGGGTTTTGTGTTGCTCAGAATTAGCATAAAACCACCGGCTTGTTTCTGACTCCATTGATTTTATATGTTATTTATTGACAGACGCTACCAATGACTTACCTGTCACCAACGTCGGAAGGATCTTCTCTTTTCTGGTCCCTGGCAACGGTGTCAGTCAAGGCGACGGCCCACTCCTGTCTATCACAGCTCCAACAACATCTGAAGAAGTCCCCACACACGTCCGCGTGGTCGTCCCCAGAGCTGAGTTCTCCACATCTGTCTCCATAACCCCTGGTACCACTGGTGCGGTCCAGTTGCCACCCACAGCCGTGGGTAGGGATACCGGGCCACAGCAAGGCACCGTGAGATTGGAGGCCAATTCGCCAGTAACGATTCAGGTGATGGTCCATGTGCACACGGGCAGTTCATCCTCGGAGGCCTTTCTTGCCTTGCCCTTGGAATCTCTAGGTATGGAGTACATCGCCTCGTCCACAACTACCAGCATTCAGTTAAATGCAAATGACCAATCTCGTGCCATGCTTACCATCACTGGCGTGTGTGATGGCACAAGTGTGTCGATAAAAGCAGCCCAACCCGTGACTTATCAGGGTGTAGTCTACAAAATGAGACGCACGTTGCGCGTCATGTTGGACAATGGGGAAAGTGTCCAAATTGAAGCCACTGGACAGATCACAGGCACACGCATTACCAGTGATAAACCAATCGCTGTGCTTTTGGCAACCACATGCCCTGCTGAAGCAGACGATGAACACTGCTTCTATTCGGTGGAACAACTTTCTCCGGTTTACGCACTGGGAAAACAATTCCTCGTGGCGCAGCTAGTGACTGGCAGGGATTCCGATGTCGTTGACGAGGTTCTTGTCTTAGGTACTCGAGCAGGTACTACGGTTGAGATCCCAGGTCATGGGATGAGCCGTAGGCTGGGCCGAGGCGAACAGTGGCGTCTACCCACTGTTCATACCGACGCCCCATTATTCCTTGAAGCAGACAGACCAGTCCAGGTGACATTATATTCGACTGCACTGGACGGCATAGGTTGCTCTCCTCAACAACAAAGCTGCAACAGCCGTTTTAAAACAATGACGGTCGTACCGCCCCTGGAGCAGTTCACCAACCGTGCTGATTTCACCGCTTGGAGCACAGAAGAAATAACATCAGGTGCTGTCAAGGCAGAGTTTCAAAACTTCGTAACAATTTTGGCGAACTTTGCTTGTGATGATCTTGCTCCAGGACTGGTGTCAACTTCTGGCTCATCAGCGAACACCACGTGGGTAAAAGAAGCTGTGCCAAACAAAGTAGGCACGTGTGTGCTGAGAACAGAAGTTCAACCAGGGACTCTACGCATAGACGCTGAACTACTAGGCAGCAGTGAAGTTCAGTTTGCAGTGCTACTGTACGGGGCGACTGACCTTCTCGCCTACTCGTTACCAGTGACGACGGGCGGGAATCATCTGAGATACATCTCGCGGGAAATTGAAAGACACGAGTGTACAATGGGTAAGAAAACTGTATCTGTTCTCCCAAAATCTAAACTTGCACGTTTAATTATCATTTGTCGAGAAATTTACAGACACACATCGTTGTTTCTCGGCAGAGTCCTATGATCCGTGTAAAGAGAACCCATGTCAGCACAGTGGGAATTGCATCACGGATGGCAACGGATATCGATGCAGCTGTATAAGCCCCTATTACGAGGGAACACACTGCGAAACAGGTAATGCTTCAATGGTGTCCTTCAACGCATTAAAAGCCTTCGATAGGTGTCGCCGAAGAGTAACCTCCCAGCATTGCTTTTGCAGTGCTACCCAGTTTTTGCTGAAATTAAAAATCTGAAAATTCTGTGACATAGGCGAATTTACGTTTGCTTATTTTTCTTAGAGGTCGACCTGTGCTCTCTGGAGGTCCCTCTGTGTTTCAACGGTGGTACTTGCACCAAAGATCAGGGGTGTTTATGCCCCCTTGGCTGGGCTGGAAGATATTGTGAGCGAGGTAAGGATACGTGCATACCAAATGACAAACTGCGCATTAACCCATCGGAGGAACGTGAACAAACAGTCAAATGGCTTGGGAGTCTGTGAATTGACAGACACTTTTGACATGCTTGATACAACCACACAGAGGAAGGACACAGAAGGAGTTTGAACTGCCCGGGCTGTAACATCTGGCCGATTACCGCTTTCTGGCATGCCTGGTATGTCCGTAGCCAGAGCGTGGCGAACGCTTGCTACACACCATCTGTTCACAACCACGAAACCCCTTTGTACCCTATGGTCGCCGCCGCAATTTGTCACTGGTCATCCACATCCTTAAAACTTTGTGCACTTTGTGCACAGGCATAGGAAATTGAATATTCATGCTTTGTTGGTGCTTGGTATAATCTCCGACAACATCAAATTTAATGCTTGCGCAGCTACTTGCATTACGCAGTGTGCCCTAAATTCGTAAGTGCAGTCATTGCCCTTAATGAGCTCTGTCTGCTGGAGTTATTTTAGGAATAAATAGCCCGGTTGTTTACAAGATGTTGTGTTTTGTTTGAATCATTTTTATTATGGCATTTGTACAAAAGCGTATTTTATGAGATTTCACGATCACTCCCTGTGATGAAATAGCATATTTTGTTCCTAATGAACTAGGCTTTCCAGTAGTAGTGAACATTTTGTTGGCCAGTCTTGGTAAAATTCGTTCCAAGTCTTTGAACAATGATGTATCGGACAGAGGAGAATAAAATTACAAACTTTGCATGGATAATGGAAGAGTGTATCAAAGTTTATTTACGATGACAAAAGTAGGTCTAATTTCAGGGATTTTTCCCCTCTCTATTTCCTGGTCAAAGCAATAATTTGTATTTAATCGCAAGCAAAAAACTACAAGTATTGCTGGGATGTTACTGGCCCCGCTTGTCCGGCTAAGATGCAGGCAGTAATTAGTCATTTTTGGAATTTTTTCTATTATTCGTCTGACTCGGCGGTGACCATCATTGAACACTTTGAAGTGCCCGAGTTGCAACTCCTATGTCCTTCCTCTATATTACACAACACTCAATTGACAGAATGCAATCTCATCCTGAAGATTACAGTTCAGAGCTCCTGCTATATGTTTTTGGTGTAACGCATACTCTCTGTTCTTTGACTTAATCCACTCTAGATATTAATTCCAAAGCAGCTTCTTCCACTGGAAGAGAATTTGTGTTCACATTCATGGAGCATTCCACCCCACGACGAAGCCCTTCCATTCTCGTTTCAACGAGTGGCAACAGCAACACTTTTGTCAACGTGAGCATACCAGTTGGTGGTTTTATGGAGACATTCTCGATTCCGCCAAATCAAGTCAAGATGATAGAGCTTCCGACGGAAGCATTATCTATTGGCTCTCGCCGACAGTATAGCGGAGTATTGGTCAATGCTAGTCAAGACATCAACCTCATTGGCTTTCATAACAGTATCACCCCAGGAGATGGGTTTCTTGCATTACCCGTGCACGCCCTGGGAACCCAGCACTATGTGATCGCAGCTCGCCAGAGAAAGAAACGCCCTGCTGAAAAATCCCAGTTGGCAATTGTTGCTGCTAATGATGACACGAATGTGTACATTAGAATACATGTGCCAGTTACATTCGAAGGACGACTCTATGCAGCCTACAGCTCTATTATTACCAATCTACAGAGGTTAGAGGTCGCGCAACTCCAGAGCCAATATGATTTAACCAAGGCAGAGGTCTCTAGTGATGGGCCAGTCGCAGTGCTTTCTGGAAGCACATGTGGCTACACCATGTATGAACAAACCGATCGGAAGAGCTGCAGCTTCATGGTAGAGCAGCTTCCTCCAACTCAGTCATGGGGCAAACGCTTTCTCGTATCACCCTTCCTAGGTAATACCAATGGGGAAACTACTATTAGAATTATCGGGGGTCCCAAACAAACCATTTTTACAGCTGGACGTACCCATCCAGGATATCTGTATGATGGAAGCATGGAGGAACGGTACATCACTCAACCAACTTACATAATAGCAACCAAGCCTGTGCTTGTGGTGGCCTTTTCTGTTCAAGCGACCTCTGACTGTTCCGGCAAGACCAGCGACTGCCAGATAGTGTCAGTGCCCACCATGTCAGTTGTACCTTCTCTGAATCAATTCACAAGCTCGGCTGTTTTCACCACTCCCTCCGCCGTCAACACCTATTCCATTAGGTACAAAAATTATGTCAGCATAATATCTTCAGACTGTTCAGATATCAGGCTTTCTCAACCTTCCGAAGTTACTGGAGAGAAGACCAACTGGGATACAATTGTCAACATACCAACCACTGATCTGTGTATGGTTGGCAAGGAGATTGATCCTGGCCAGTACCGAGTTGGTGCAGAATCAGGAGAGGTAATCTTTTCATCCAAGCTTTATGGCTTCAACAACTATGGCAGTGCTTATGGATTTCCCCTGGCTCTTGGCGGACATAGCGCTGAAGGTAATATTCAGTACTGTGTAGACAATTTAGGGTGTCCAGGTAATGTTGAAACAAGTTCACTGTGTATCACTTAAATTCAACTGGTACACTGGACAAAGTGTTAACTGAAAACACCAAACAATTTTACTTTAAATGTTACATTTTGTGCGATTCAGACTATAATCATAGTATTTAAAAGGTTGGGATAGAGTCACATGATTGAGGAGAAAGCGTTGACACTACATGACACAGAAACAGAAATACACATCCAGAACATCTTTGTGTGATAAACCTGACATTGGGAGCAATATGTTGTTTCAAAACTGAATTTTCTGTTGTTGCTTTCTCACAGGATTTGTGAAGTTGTCATCTGGCACTGCAGGAAAGGAGTTCATTCTGACGTTTATATCAGGTGGTAATTATTGGCCCACTGAAGGCCCGAGATTACTCATCACAGGGTCAACCCAAGCAGCGAAAACTGAAGTCACAGTAACAGGTACTGGTTTGGAGAGAGCCCTGACGTTAGGCCCATATGAGACACAAGTTGTTGATATCCCACCTACATTGATTGCTGTGAATGGGCATGAGCCTTACCCTGATACTGCCATTCATGTGCGTTCGTCTCATGACATCATGGTGTATGGAATGAACGATGCGTATGGCACTGACGAGGGGTATGGAACTTTGTCAGATGGCTTCCAAGCACTTCCTGTTTCCGTGCTTGGCAGGGAGTACTTTGTTGTGACGTCTTGGCCAACCTACCAGCATTATCCGACACGCTTCATGCAGTATGTCATCATAGGCATCCATGATGGCACCAGGGTGGACATCAACTTAAGAGCAGCAGTGTGGTTTGACGGCGTTGTGGTCTACGGTGGTGCCATGAAGACCATCACACTAAACAGATTACAAGTGGCATACTTCAAGTCCTACAATGATCACACCGGAACACACGTGATCAGCACCAAGCCAGTTGCTGTCATATCTGGGACAGATTGTGGATTTGCCCCGAGGTATTCCAATGACGGACCCCTGGACTATCCTTGTGATCATCAAGTGGAGTTTTTGACACCAGCTGAAAGATGGGGACACACCTTCCTGCTTGCCACTCTACAGGGCTACAAAGGTGGTGATATCTTTGTCAAAACGCAAGGCCTACATCCTTACTCCTCTGTAAAGCTGGGATCTGGGGGCAACACACAAATGTTTAACACTCCGTTTACCTTTAATGTCGGCCATCGTGGATATGTGAATCAAACTGTGGCTAGAAGTAGCATGCCTTTAAGCGTCAGCGCTTTCACAATCTACCAACCCCTCCTGAATTGCATAAATGAGAATGGATCATGCCACGGCCATAGTCGGCCAGTGCTGTTCACTATACCTCCCGTGGAGAACTTCCAAAAGAGGGTGATATTCCCCTCGTACAGGGTCCGAGGAGCCGAAGATATGGCAAGCTATGCCGATATTTACACCAACTGCTCAGAGGCAGATTTTGTACTTGTCAATGGGGCTCGGCAGAGGTGGGACTACCCACTGGAGGAGATCGGGGAGACTGGGTACTGCGTCTTGAGACTTCAACTGGCTACTGATGAGACTGCCACATCTTACGTGGTGGAGTCTTCCTTGGAGACTGGAAAACTTGGGGTGATCACGTATGGTTTCAGCACTCAGTCAGGGTATGCCTTCCCAGGAGGGTTTGCATAGGTAAGCAGTTCAGCTATTAAAGCTGCTAAACTAACTGAGAAAAAAGGGAGGGGAAAGTTTTACCCACCTGCCCACCCCAATTTATTTTCAACATGATGGGAAGCACAACCATTTTGTTAGTCATGGGGACACCTGTATGCATCTTTTGCTGAAACCCAGAATTGAGTACATATTTTTTTCTTAATACACGTACGTGCATCTCCATACATTTAATTTCCTCTTTTTTAAATACAAGTGCGTACAACATATTTTTCGACCAAGGTTTTTGTGATTTCATCACTTGGGAAATCGGCAACAGGATTTGATACATACAGATTTAGAAACAGATGCAAATTATACACATTTCATAAGCACAATATACAAACCATGACATAATGAATAAAATACATACTAATTATAACTAACTCTAGATGATATACCTTTTGTGTTTAAAATTAATGCATAGCAGATACTGTACAAATGAAAAAAATGAAAAAATTGTGTAAAAAAAACTCATGTAAAATTAAAGATAGCCAATTACAATCAGTCCTCTCCCCCAATATTTTGTAAAATTGATTAACCGTAACCCCCTACGGTGTATGTAACATCATATTGAAATCGGAGGATTTGGGACTGCTATAAGTTCAATGTACGCATGTTTTCTATGATTGCATGGCTATATTGGATGATAAGAGCCAACACCAGCCTTTCTCATGGTTTTTTCCATCATAGCATGTGATGTAACTTGTACATGTCTTTTCCCACCCAACCAAGTGCTATGTTATGCACATTACAGCAGCACAGATTTATTTCATTCTTGAAATGGAAACATTGAAAGGCCATTATAATACTTGTGAATATCACAGGCAAGTAATTGCAAACAGAGGAGAAATGGTTGCCAAGAATCTTGAAATCTGCTTTGTCGGCATAGGCAAAAACTTGTCACTGGAAGCCTACTGGGTTTTACTTCATCATAAACAGTGTATTGTTTTCTATCATAAATTGTTTGGTTTTATGTTTCCTGTTCATCGTACTGCCGTGTTAAATGCTTAACAAACAGAAATCATCAGAATTTTTGTTTCCCATCATGAGACTCATTTCAAGACTATTGGTTTGGAGATAGTTTTATTATGGTTTCAAGGTAATTTAATTTTACTGTTAGCTCATTTATTGTCAGTTCGGTTTTCCTTGGAGAAAACGTGGCTTGGAAACAGTGACTTGCCTGGTGAAAAAAGTGGTCTATTGAACTGGTGGCAACAATCCTGGGCCAAGTTCGACCTGAGACCATTTTGTCAACCACCAATAGATGTTACCTGGTACCCAGGATATAGTTGATGCAGAGGCTATTAGGCAATATCAAGCAGTAGTTGACAAATGGTCGCTGATCTAACTTGGCCCTGGTTGTGACTATCTCCTCTATACACAAATACCCCCTCACAGGTGACAAACACTGAGGTAAGGGTGACTATTGGCACAGTGTGTCTGGGATGAACACAATAGTGATTAGCAAAAATCACTCAGGAATACCCTATGCTTGACATGGGTGAACATGCAGTCGTGCTTTACTGAACAACTGAGGACTATTGTTTCTACAAGTGCTCCTAAAATACAACACTTTCCCATAGACTGACAACAGGCACTTACCACTGAGGACAAATCACTAACCACTGAGGACAGGGAAACATAATTCATTTCCTTTGTGTTCTGTCCTCTATGGTAAGGTAAAACATTTACACATGAACGAAAGTGTGTTTTCCCTAGGGATGTTGGTAAATTAAAAAACTCCCTTTCTAGAATATGCATGGAGCCAATCCGACCCAAATGTGATAAAATAGAGAACAGTAGCAAAGGACAATGAAATGAATTAATCCAAACTGTCACTGCGACCACGGTCTTTCATCAAAAGTCCTTCACACAATAAATAACATTTTATTCACAAAAGCTATGAGTGCTACATAGAGAAATCACTTATCAAAACTAACGCCCTTGTAGATCAATGTGTCTGTCATTACAGGCACGTTAACATCTGTACTGAAACATGAATGTACAAAATTACTTCAGAGAATCTTAAACAATTTGGTTGGCACCAGTGATGATCCATGCACTTTGAAAAGGCAAATTGATAAACACGATTTAAAAAAAATCCCACATTTCAATTTTTTTTTTCAATATTATTATTAAATGACCTGGGGTAAATATTTCAGCAATTAGGGATCCTTGATTTTATTCAAATGTGAAAATGATTTTATTTAACAACCAATCCAAATTTCATTCCCTCAACGAAGGCAAATCCCACTTTTTGCTGACAAAAAGAGAAAAATTTGTGCAAAAGGCTGACATTCTATGACAAAAATTAAAAATAAATGGCACTGAGGTGTTAAAACTGACGTGATCCATTTGAACATGGGGACACCCTGTATTACCTTCCTAGATCCAAGAATGGAGGGGGGGTTGAGGAGAGGGGAAAATGCCAAAAATCCACTCTTATTTAACCTTCACAGAGCCAGATTATTTTTGCCCAACTGTGAGTTTTGGCCCACCAAGAACTCAGCTGTCCCATCTTCCAAAACTCAGCATTGAAAGATATTCCTTATCATTACAATTGTGAATTTTGAACTCAATCAGAAGTATGGTTTTGTTGTTACCGTCATTTGAAGTTCAAGGCAACATGAGTGCTAGCCTGCATGCACTGAGCACTGCATTGGAGAAAGTATACAATTTTGACCCATAGCTCTTTTACGGTTAAGGTAAACTTAATGGCCATTGAACGTTGAAGTAAGAGGATTGTGCCATTGATTTCCTACAAAGTAATAGATTCTTACAGGTGGGCAGAAATTATACAGAAGTTGAAGGATTCAGAAATATGAGGGTTAAAGAAAGCTACTTTCAAGAGTGCCCTTGGAACTTAGTGTTAGCAAAAACACTTATCTTCTGTGGACTACCACTGGACTCTATACTGCTTGGCCTAGTCATACACTGTACATGTACGGTTCCTCTTTACCCCATTTGATGTCCGGGGAGGCAAACGGACTCAGCCAAGCCAGGGACATCCTCTGGCCAAAGACTGACTTCATGGATGCACAGCGTGTCTTCTTGACCCAGGTTGGTTTTTCACGCTTCAGTTGCTCAATGCCCTGACACAGAAAAAACAAGTGGCATGGAATTTGGCAGCCATGGAGAAAAGCTGTATGTTGTGTCAACTGATTCGGTTAGGGGTCATCCATTTTTGTCATTTTCACGAGAGTACAAAGCGTACGCTGGGGGAAGGGGTGAATTGGTTGCGTACGCTTTTAGAACCGTGTAAAAATTACGATTATCATAGACCGGCCAACTATCACCGCAACTATTACGTGTGTGCAGAGAGAGCTCAGGACTCTGATGTATCATTCATTACAACCTTAGGCAATGGCTATTTCTTAACCACTCGACGATTTTGCCTGGTGTCACATATAAAAAGTACATACACAAGTACCAGGCAAAATTCACTAACGTTGAAGTCACAGCCACACGTGAAACAGTCTTTGAGCACCCCCAAAGCTCCACTACATCGTGCATGCTATGAGATTTGGTACCCAGACACAAGTGTATTTTACAGTTTATTTATGTACGCATTTTCCCTTGTGTGGAAAGGTGCCCTGCTGAATGCACAGCGTGCTTGATACACGCAAGTTTGTACATGTACATACACACAACGATGCAAATGATCATTGTAACTTTTTATACGCTTTTGTGAAGAGGAAAATAAATCAAATCAGTGGTACATTTTCTGACTGCTATTCCTGGACGCAAACAAATGGACACTTTTATTTTAAGAAAAAAGTATCTGTCCATTGGGCAATTTGTCCTTAATTATTACTTGGAAAAAGGAATTTGTCCCGGGCAATTGGAAAATTGCAAATGTCGATGCCTGTCATGGACATTGTTTTTCCTCCTGCCACTATTCTCTGGTCGTCTACTGCACATTAATAGCCATACGTTGTGAGTTACAATGGATCCTCAGGCACCAAACCAAAAACCAAAACTGAGGTAAAAACCAAAACTGAGGTAATAACCACAACTGAGGTAAAAAACCAAAACTGAGGAAAAAACCAAAATTGAGGTAAAAACCAAAACTGAGGTAAAAACCAAAATTGAGGTAAAAACCAAAACTGAGGTAATAACCACAACTGAGGAAAAAACCAAAACTGAGGAAAAAACCAAAATTGAGGTAAAAACCAAAACTGAGGTAAAAACCAAAATTGAGGTAAAAACCAAAACTGAGGTAATAACCACAACTGAGGAAAAAACCAAAACTGAGGAAAAAACCAAAATTGAGCTAAAAACCAAAAATTGAGGTAAAAACCAAAACTGAGGGAAAAACTAAAACTGAGGAAAAAACCAAAACTGAGGTAAAAACCCCAAACTGAGGTAAAAAACCAAAACTGAGGTAAAAACCAAAACTGAGGTTAAACCAAAACTGAGATAAAAAGAGGTTAAACAAAAACTCAGGTAAAAAACCAAAACTGAGGTAAAAATCACACCTGAGGTAAAACCCAAAACTGAGGTAAAAACCCCAAACTGAGGTAAAAAACCAAAACTGAGGTAAAACAAACCTAAACTGAGGTAAAAAACCGAAACTGAGGTAAAAACCGAAACTGAGGTAAAAACCAAAGCTGAAGTAAAAAACCAAAGCTGAGGTAAAAAACCAAAGCTGAGGTAAAGTGAAAAGTTGATGCATACTCAGACAAAGGCATTGTAAGGAAACCCTAAAATACAGTGAGGTCAATCGCAATTCACGGCATGATCTTGGGGTAACTTGTGCTACAATATGGTCCCTGCAATACATGGGGTTGTATTGCATGCTAATGCTACACCAGAATGTGGTGGCAGTCATCCTCGGACTCCTCCATTTTTGTTTTTGTATGAAATAAAGAGGCCACTAGAGGTGGCAAAACCTTAAAAGCAAAGCTTGTGTCAGGCATGCAATTACAAGAAACAGACAACACAATACAAAAGAAACAACAAAATACAAACAGGGAAAACGTTACAAAATGAGCAGCAAATAAAAATAATGATGAATACAACGGCTACAGGAGGGGGTTACATAAACTTAATCACACATCAAACTAGGACCCTGGAGACTAGGACACATGAAATCTACTGCATAAGATGAAATAAGAAGGAGTCATGGTGACTTCATCTATTTTGTGCGTGGCAACGGGCGAGCACTAAATCAGAACATAGAAATCAATGGTCTAAGCGCCTTCACTGCTGATTTACTTACCGTTTCATCAGTACAAATGGAATGGATCTGAGTACCAAACATGATGGCCGTGAAGAGCGAGAACAGTAAGGCTTCAAAAGTCAAGATCATAATGAGGACGACCGTCGCCGGGGAAGAGAAGTACAGACACTCGGCTGCCAAAAAAAATTCATATAAAAACATGTTATTGCAGCTGGGATGTCATATATTGTTCAACTATTAAACCTTTTGAGTTGATGACATGATTGTACCGAGCACAAGAGATGACATTCATTTGGAATAATGCAGTTGATAAAACCAAAACACGTGAATTTTCGAAATTGGTTGTTCATGGAATTCGAACCTTCTGTGGTGAGCAGAACATTCGATTCAATTTAAATCTTGATTATTAGTCACATGATTTGTAAAATGAACAAATTAGAAGGTACCAATGAAAAATACTCAGTTAACATCAAAAACAATCAGAGGGGTCTATCTACTTTGCCTGAAATTCACTTTTTTCACACTTTGTTAAGTTTCATTCACTGTTTTTCAATAACTCTTTCAAAGTACAAACTGATGTGTAAAAAAGAAAATTTAGTTGTCCAGTTTTTCCCATGAAGGCAACTTGGCAGGCCCTGGTTCAATACCTTTACGAATAACCCAACTGCCACTTACGTCCCCATTGTGACCGAACGCACCAAAAGCAGTGGAAGAGAACCATTATGATAGCATGGAGAGACATCAACATGATGTACAGCTGCACAGAGGGAGGGAAGAAAAGGTCAAAGATGATCAAGATTCTCACAAAAAACTTCCTAATTCCCCATTCTGTTGGTTTTGGCTAGAAAGCTTCTATAATCCTCCAAAAGTCAGCACGGCACACCCCCAATACTTCACAAATTTAGGACATCGAGCTCTGTACATGTCAATTTATCCACTCTACTAACAAGACCTCCTTCACCAGCAAAAAATGAAGGTCAGTGGGAAACACGTTGGTGGGCAAAGGTTGGTGAGTATTAGGTTGGTGGGCATTAGGATGGTGGGCAAAGGTTGGTGGGCATCAGGTTGGTGGGCAAAAGGTTGGTGGGCATCAGGTTGGTGGGCAAAAGGTTGGTGAGCATTAAGTTGGTGGACAATAAGTTGATGGGCAATAGGTTGGTGGGCAATAGGTTGGCAGGCAATAGTTTCCATTGGTATCTAGCTGCCTATACAAAGACTATACATTTCAATAACGATGAGCCAGCTTGGTATTCCAACAGAACATGCCCAAAATGAAGCCCAATCCAGGTCATTCAAGGAACAGCTATACATGTACTTGAATGCAAGATCTGCCTAATCCGCCCCGAGCTGAAGTCCACCCCCAATCGGCAAAAAAAAAGACAACTGGTTACAACGAGGTTCTTTCAGCGTTCTGTGTGCACACAAAAAAGACCATACACGCCGAAATAAATTAGTTACGCGTACTGAGCGTGCTCTACATCAAATGTGCATCTATTTGCGCGCCTCACGCCGTGTCTATGCGGTGAGTACCCCAAAAAAGCAGGCCCTCTTTTGTTCCGCTTGGAGTGGATTAGCACAGCTACAGCCATACGCTTACTGGCACACATGCTTTGTTGTAAATTACCTCATCTTTCTTGAGTACCAAGCTCGCTCGTTGGTCTCACACACTCCATGCTACATACCCACCAACCTATGCAGACACATGACGTGTCCAATCCAAGTGCTGTTGTTGCCATGTGACAACACACTGTCTCTTGTTCATGGATAGAGCCAATGATAATCAATCAAGACTGCAGTGAACCAACAGTATTTCTGTATGCTTAACCACCTGCTGCCGGGGAGTCTGGTTTCGGAGACGTTGGCTTTATATGCACAGACAGGGTGCCCGAAATCAGACAAAGGGAACTGGACTTTGTAACAAAAGACTGTACTTGGAACAAAAGACCGAGCTGCTGGGAATTTCCAACATTTTTTCAGTTGTCAATAGCGGAGGAAATCCATCAATGTTTTGAAAGATTATAACACTGTTTGTGGCATTCAGTGCAAGCAGATTACCACCAGGGGCAAAAGCACTCAGGCGGTGAGTGATACAATACTGCTGCACACTAATCTGGCCCCGATAGAAAAGACGTCAGAGACGCACTGTGTCGGTTTTGGGAACAAAAGAAAATTACATAACATCACACAATTTGGGTCTTTTTACAAGGCAGCAGGCCCCACTGAAATACTCGGGCATCAATAAATGTTGTCTGTCAGATTAGAGTAGCCCAAGACAGTCATTCATGTGGGTGTAAATGTCCAGTAAATGAAGTTATGAATTTGTAAAGAATTTTGAAAACAGAAAAAAATGAAAAATCACCCGGCCCAGCAGAATCAACATGGATAAATGGCCCAGCAGGAAGTGGCTAAGGCCAGTTCACACTTAAGGCAAGTGCAAAAGCACTAAATTCTACATCAAGAGATGCTCACAACAAAGTTGCTTTAGCTGAAATACATGTACAACACATTTTTGCAATTTCATAGTGCGAAAATTTGATCTGATGTTACAAAATCGCATTCATGATCAAGTATGAGCTGGCCTTTTGGACCAAAAATTCCCATGTAAACAATGCCAGGCCCTACATTCCACCAATTACTGAAAAATAAGAATTGGATTTGGGTGGCTCTTCTGTTGTCAGTATAATACCGAGAGAGAATCTTGTCTTGCTAGTACCTACCGTAAATAAGACAAAGTACTTTTGGTTGCTTTCACCCACACAATTATTTACCCATGGACAGTGATGGTCCATTTTCCTGCGAGAAAAAAAATGAAGAGCAATTATATTTCCAAAAGAGAAAATGTTCACCCGTTTCCATGTAGACAAAACAGGGTTATGAAGTTTCCTCTGCATGAAAAAGTAAATACTGCTTGCAGCGTAGGTATCTGCAGTAACAGGATGCAGTTTTGAAAATTTGGCTGTGGTCAAGATGAAATCGTTACGCCCCAAGAATAACGTCAGTCCCAACTATAATTAAGACAATCCCGAATACAGTGCTGCAGTCGGGCTTGCCTGATTGCGGTTGGCAAATTTGAATTGAAAATTTCTCAACCTTCAGGATTTTCCACCTAGCACCTGACAGGATTCATCCAAAATAGGCCAACCTGGCATTTCATCCACAACAGTAATAAAAACCAGAAACTGCTGGCATGTGTTTCTGCTCCATATAAACATGAAACTGCCACACATCTGCACACTTCATCATAGCTGGGATAGCCCTACTGCAGCACAATGAGCATCAAGCTGGACCAAGAGAGGGGGCTCTTTTTTTAGCAACAGAGGCTTCTTTAGTCGGAACTGAACTTCGCTAGTTCACCAACAGCTAGAAAATGCATGTGACAGGGTAACATCGCTGCTAACCGATTGAATACTCCCGACCAACGTGGCTCTTCTCAATCAATAAGGGTGCTTTTGCTAGAGCCGGATAGTTGGGACTGTCTGAACCCCAGTTGGGACAAATGCTACAATTGGGCATAACAAAATCAAGCAGCTACCGAGCCCGCTACTTACTTGATACATCTCCTACAGATGCTGCAGTGGTGAGCCCTCTCGGGTTTGATGCTGATGCATTTTGGGCACCGGTACACCACCTGGCCTACGGTCAGACCCATGTTATTGATGTGTTCTCGGGTGGCGTTACCCAGAGGTACAGCTCCCTACAATGACAGTGAGAAATCACTGGTCTGGGCAGTGCATTCAAACATAAAGTGCATTTTGGAAACAGTGGTGTCATTCTTGGGCAAGTACTAAAGATCCCTCTCATTTTACCCTCCACTGTATGGGTGGCCAAAACCTGCAGAGATATCACCTTTGATTGGTATCAGATTTTGACTAAAAATTACACATTTACCAATTTCTTTAAAGAAAACTGAACTTTGTAGCAGTGGTTATTGTTTTGTGTTTCAGCAGCTGCGTGAAATTTTTCTCATTTAGTGAATAATTCTTTTACTTTTGTGCTGACAGCGAGCCGTAGTTTTAACAGCTATTCGTAAGCAAAAACAACAGTGTGACGTAGAAACAGCAGATCCTATGGGCTGACCTGAGGAGATCCTTTGGCCTTCTTGCAAGAAAGTTTTTCGGAATTTGCTAAAAATTCCTATACTAAGTATTACACAAGAAGTATCAAATCCCATGTAACATACTCGTGGCTAGGCTCTATATTTCTGAATCTTCTAAAACTAAGATTCTGAGGATCTCTGAGGGTTAAGTTTAATCCATATATTTGCTATGTAGCAATATTTGCTTGACAAGTTTACCCCTTCTTGGCAGGAATTTCTTTCCGAAAGCCGACTCCAAGAATTCCAACCTCGCTTGGCCACGAAGGCCACCAGCCAAACCGCTAATTCTCGGTTTGTGGCCCAGCATGCTCTGCACGCTTTGAATTACACAGTGAAAAGGCTGATTGTTCGGTGGCATGCGGCACTACTCAAGCTTACACATTCCCATTGCCTCTTTTCAAAGTGGGGACTATTGTGAAGCTGGTGATTATGATGCGAATTCGGTCTTTTCATTTCTGGGCTACACACAAAGACCAATTTACCATATACACAAGAGCCAGGGTCTGCCTTCTTTCACCATGTTCGCTCGAGTGTGGCCCGAGAATAATAGCTGAAAAGCGTGCTGAGGATCTGAATTTTTACGGCGTGTCTTAACAAGTCCCGGCGTGAAGGGGTTAAGGAAATTACAAAATAGCCCAATTTGAGAGAGAATGTACAAATCTTTAATACATTACAAATCAAATGAATCACCAAGAAAAATATCCATGTACGGCGCATCGGTATTTATATGCCAGAGAGCACCCGTTCAGAGCACTCACTGATGAAGGTCCATGGATTGACACATTTAATTGATGGATTGATACTCAATGTGCCTGTCCTTGTGTTAAAATGTTACCTCGCAATCTCAATACCAGGAGAGGAAAATAACTCCGGAAAAATAGCATACTCACGGGGTCGGTCATCATGGCTCGTACGTGGGACACCACTGAGTTGAACGAAAATATGGAGAAGACCACGCCGTTACTTAATGTATAGAAATCTAGCCCCCTGGGATAGAGGAGGCACGTCATAACAGCAAACGACCCATATCCTATGAGTAGGTAGGTGAAGACAGCACAGACAATACCACAGGGATCCTGAAGTGGAAGAGAAAAAGGATGGTCATTAGAAGATTTAGCTCTCAGAGAAGCCGGCAAGGTGCTCCAGTGCCTCAGTGATACAGACACTGTTTGTTGTGCATAAGAGCCTGGGTTCAAGCCCCGCTACAATAATGTAATTGAAATCTCCTCCCCCCCCGTTGTTTCTTTCTTTAACCTCTCATTCTAATTCCTTTGTTTACTTTCCAGACATACTTTTGTTTTAGCGAGATTCATACCCTGGAGGATTTTTCAATGAGAAAAGAAGTCTGAGATCCACCCGTTACAGACTTGTCTGGTTCCTTGGTGCAATTGAAGCAGACAATCACTAGTTTAAAGTGCCACACAGATAAATCCAGTGACATGTCACTCACCGACTTCATATGCAAGTATCTGGACCTGTAACAAGCTTAATCAACAACACACAGAGGTCATTGAAGCCACCAGCAGCCATCTTACCATGCCAAATACAACTTTAGGTAATACAAAGGCTTGCCCACCTTTGGAAACAAATTTGTTTATGGCATTCGCAAGCCAACCATCGTCTCTGTATTCAATTCGGTAGAATGGCATCCGGTGGCTTCAGCAAGCATGAACGTAGTGCGAGTCCAGAATTTTCATCATGACGTCCATGTTTCACTGGAAATTCCCCATGGCCTCCATCAAGATGGCGGAAGGCACACTGTTGGTTACAGTACCAAGCAACTGTCACAGAGCAGTCCCTATGTACAATAGTTTCTCCAACTGGGACAGGCCCTTGCAAATGACCAGATATAGCATTACCATGGTTACCGATTTATCTATCATTGTGGCTATGGGAGACGGGGACAAGTTGCTTTTTAAAGGAATTGAAAGCACTGAAACATTTTTAAAATTACAATACACCACGTTTCTTGGGTGTAAGGCTTCTTTTTAACGAAAAAAAATGACTGTCCTTTTTTTTTTTTTGGATAAAAAATTTTGTCCCCCTGGACTGAAAATATGGATACGCCACTGGTCTATAGCCACTACGTTTTTAAAATATACTTGAAACTTGAAGGAAGGATGGTTCTCCCCTTACCGGCACAAACCATTTGTCCTGTATGCCCAGCTTGGCTGGCAGACCACAACACTTGCAGCACCTGTTGGTGACTGCCAATGTCTTCAATTTCTCATTAGCCGCATCGCCATCTATGCTGCCTGTGCTGTCTGGGTGCAGTGGCTCTAGACGCAAGCTCATGACAAATGGTTTACTATCCGCCCCAAGCTAAAGTGCACCCCTAATTGGTGAAAAGAAAGACAGATGGTTACAAGCGGGTTGTTGCATGTGTTCTGCGTGTACGCAAAGACCATACATGCCGGAATAAATTAGGCACGCGTACTCAGCGTGCTTCTCATCAAACGCGCATATACTTACGCGCCTCATGGCGTGCCTATGCTGCGAGTACCAAAACAAACACGCCCTCTTTTGTTCCGCTTGGAGCTGATTAAATTACAGCTTTTTGTATGTGCAAATTATCAAGAAGAATGACAGCAAATGAATTACCAAGCAAACTTGGAACTTGGAAGATCAAAAAAATTTACAAACCTATCTTGTTTTTTTTTATTTACACACGGTACATTATTTCTGGACTGATTAATCCAATTTTGAAGCTGATATGTACATGTAACCAGAAGGAAGCTATGTAACCAGAAGGAAGCTTTACCCCTTGACCAACAGAACTGAGGTCCGACATCTGACGCACTCCCGCGCGAAAGCGGGGCGGACAACGGACCCCACTGTTCTGGGGGTAAGGAAGCTTGACATACAACTTATTACAAGAGCCAAGAACAATGTTGCTTGAAAACAGGCCAATGCATTTTGCCATCTGATATGACCAAGAAAAGAATCAACCTGATCATTTTATTTGTCCATACACATTAGAACAGTAAAACATGTCAAAGCATCAAGCCGTGATACCCTCATCCTCAAACAAACACCAACAAGCGCCCACACCATTCACGTTGTTGTACATGACTCGACGAAGTAATAGCCTGGCGTTAGGCTGCGTGTTGGTTTACTCATACGCGGTAAGCAGATCACGCACGGCGCAGTGACTCATTGCATACCGTGTTACAGATGACTTAGCTTCGAAAGGACTACTCATTGAAATAAATGGATCAAATTAGACAAAAGTGGACGGGCTAACGAATGTAATACATTTACACATTGGCACTAACAGCGCTTCCTTCTGTGCTTCAAGTTCAACAGAAAGAAATGTAATATTTACCCCGATATGTAGAAGTTATATCCACAGAATTCGAGCTTGACTCTGCGCTGCAGTGTGTCTGAATGAAGCAAGTGAGCCCTCTATCGATATATCGATCCCGGAAGTTAAATGTGGCAAGAACCACTACAAAAATGGGGTGATGACACCTTTTTTGTTGAGTTGTTAATAAAGCAAATGAAGACAGACCAGGGTCCCAATTGAAGGTTATTAGAATATGTTAGAAATAAAGTGCTTTTAAAAATAATATGTGAATAACAAGGAGAATTCGGACATATTTTATCATACATGCTCCAAACTAGATTATGCATGTTACATGCATGTCAATGTTGTGTCCCTAAATGATGGGACGGACGGACCTGTCGACCGATTACAAACCGTACCTCTGAGTCTGAATTTCTTGTGCATTAGGCAAGTATTGTACATGTACATCGGACGCTAGCCTACAAGAACAAGCACGTGCTCTTATTCCCACACAAACACATATAGACCCATGGTGCATGCATGCATGTACTATCTTGTGAGCTTCTGGCAGACGGCAGAATGGCAAAAGTGCGGCTAAGTGCAGGAGAAAAGACTTTTATTATACATGGTGTGCAGGTAAATCTTTGCCAAATGTTACTTCCACCTCCTCTCCATTGTAGAGAGGCTTATAAATTTTTCTACGGACGCCAGTAATTATTCCCTTAACAGTCATGTCCTATTTGCCTTCAGAAAGCAAAAGAATGTCCAGAAAAGTTCAATTTAAGGACAGAAATTTAATTTTAAGGACAGAGGTATGAAAAAAACGAAGTCGTTTATTCATGTTACTTAGACATGTTAGAAAACACACTTGGCCATTTCAACCCAGACCAATCTAATAAGCCTTATCACAAATACTGCATGGGTGATTTTGCACAATTGTAGTGGGCCTAAGGCATTATTTGAAGGAAAAAGGAGCCAATGTTGCCCTTTTTTCCTTCCCACAATGCCTTTCTATTTTGCAAAATCCCCTGTGCAGTACTTGCGATAAGGCTTGTAGGGTTTGTGCACGGGGTGTCAAGTGGCGTCAATATATGGAACTCTTTCCATTTTTCTTATTTTTTTTCTTTTTTAGGGTAGGGCCTAGTCATTTAGGCCACTAATAAATCATTGTAGCCCAAATAACTATTAAACTAACGAAAGGCTAGGCCCACTTACATGACTGATTACGAAAGGCTATTCATCTGTATAAACAATATTTGTAAAGGGGATAGCCAGTTCATACTACAGGCAAACATGGAAGCAAAGCCATTCAACGTCATCAAGATTTGTAGCGAAACTTTGCTCCCCTCCAAGCCCTCCCAACCCCCCCCCCTGGGTGTGCCAATAATTCCATTGAACTCTGCAAACCAAAGAAATATTAATTTCAGACATAGATTATCATCTTTCATTGCCGGTACGTCAGTAATGACCGCCAAGTAGAGCCCTTTAGATGGGGGGGGGCATAAAAGTAATAAGCTATGTTTACCATTCACATGATTGTATCATTTTTTTACGTCTGGACATTTCTGAAAATGGACATCAATTGAAGTTTAATTTTTGACTGAGTAACTAAATATTACAGGATGGGCTGCGCACTGATGGACGAAGCTGTGATGCATTCCGACCCATGGAACTGGAGTGTGGTGTTGTTTCCAACACCAGTGGTTCCGCCCGTCTCCGCCTCTCAAACACCGATATCCTGGTTGGTGTCAAAGCCGAGATGGGCAAGCCCCGACCTACACGTCCCGGCGAGGGCTACGTGGAGTTCTTCATCGACCTCTCGGCCAATGCGTCCCCGGAGTTCGAAGGTCGCGGTGGAGAGGAGCTGGCCACAGAGATCGCCAACACGCTCTCCTCGACTTATGACCTCACCAGCGTATTGGACTATACTTCACTCTGCGTTCTGCCAGAGCAATGTTGCTGGGTACTGTATGTGGATGTGGTGGTGTTGGAATGTGGAGGCAACTTGTTTGACGCTATCGGCATCGCTGTGAAGGCTGCTTTGTACAACACCAGGTCGAATACTCTGAGCTTTTTATGATCTTCATATTTTTTCAGAGTAAACTGGGTAAAACTTTCTGAAATTAAAAGACAAATCTGAACAATTTGTCAATCTTCTGCAGGCTCGGAAGTGGCTGTGGAGCCCAATCCTTGTGGTGCTGACCCTTCCGCACTTGGGAGCCCCGGGCTGAGGATGGCTTAGAAAGAAGCCCATCCTGAATTCTTTTTCCCTTGTCCTCAGTAGCCACTTGTCTGTCAGCTTCAAATTTCTTTCTGCCTAATGTCTGTTTTTTCTAATATCATAGAAGAAAACTTTCCTGAATGCTAATACCTAAAACAATTTCTTCTGGATGTTTATGGGTGACAGAATACCAAAGGTCAAAGTTCAAGATGGGGAGGGTCAGGAGGAGATTGAAGTCTCTGACGACCCTCACGATGTCGTTTTATTGGACACTAGCAACATGCCTGTACTAGTCACCGTCAGCAAGGCAAGTCTTCCTTCTGTTGGTTTTATCCAATTTTAATTGTTGAATTTGCAGTCAGAGAGGGGCAATCATGCGACGTATGTAGAATGGACAGCTTTGAAGCTATCATTATTGGAAGTGGTTATTTTGTATATTTGACTGAATGATACCGAATGAGTTAATGACTAGTTTAGCAGGTCAAAAAATTTGGATTTTTTTCATGTTACTTTGTAAAAGCTTTTTTGAGGGATGATGATATTTTGGGGGACTTTTCACACGCTTTGGGAAGGAAGAGAGATGAAACGGACCTTACTAATCCGTCTTTCTTTCATTATGTAAACAATGTTTTGAGGGCTCCATTTAGGAGCATGGAGCTTGGCCCCCCCCGTCTGCCCTTGCCCAAAACTCAAGTGACCAGCACAATAAATGTGAGAAACCTTTTATAAACGGTTGTGGTCATTGAAGGATTTTACTTGCAGGAATCGATCACTGACATGCACTGGTGACATGCGAATGTTGCAGTTAGTGAGCACGTTCAGTTTTTTCACAAAAATGTACATGTAGCATGCGCAGAGGGTAGACACAGGAAACAAACTGTTCCGCCCGCTTTTGATGTTGACGATGATTGACATTTCCACCGCAGAAAACCACCCTCGGGCAAACTTTATTGATTGGTTCAGATTATCTGATCACCTTTCCCCAATCTTAGGTTGGCCAGCAGCACGTCGTGGACGCCACACTGGAGGAAGAGGCCTGCTGCCTGGCCTGCATCGTCATGGCCGTCAACCCAAAGGGTGCCCTCGTTGGCATGGAAAAGAAAGGTGCCAGCAGTCTCACACTGAACAGCATTCAGGATATGATTACGGTAAGTTTGGAAAAAATTATGCCTTTTTATTCCCGGTCAGTCTGAAATTAAAAAAAAAACCTGAAGATTTGAACAAAGTTTAAAAAAATAAGGCAGAGGTTTTGAATTGTTTTATTTGAAAAGAATGAAAAAAAAATAATTATTTTTTCCTAAGTACCATGGGACATAGATTGCTCAGACAGGATTGTAATGGCAGAAAAACTTTCTGAGGTATGAGATACTTTTCTGAGGTTTAAAAGTTTTGCTACTTCACGAATGTTTTTTCATACACTTTTGTTCACAGACGGGCAAGAAGGTAGGCATGAACCTGAACAGTAATCTGTCGTCTGTGCTGCAGGAAATTGGTCAGAACACTTCCAGCACTGGGCTTCTGTCATGATCCTTCAAATGTTCTCCTGTGAGGGTCACAAGAACTTTCCAAAACTGAAATGGAATTGCCCATTTGCTACGTGCACAACCCTGTAGGGGGCGCTGCTTGCGGCAAGCAGTGTGTCACCTCAGAGAGACAATCACTGCACTGCCACTGCGGTGCATGTTAACTACAAGATCCGTCACCTTGTTTGCAGAGATTAATGTGCCAGCTGATTTGCCATCGTTTTAATAGGATTCATCCATAAATGGTGACACTGAATTAGATGCAACATTGGTCTTGTGTGGTTTGGATGCATCCAAGATACATAGTGCATCTTCCATCTCGCTACGAATGGGGAAGGAGTCATGACCTGATTACAACACTGATTTTTTGGAAACCTAGGGTTACCCAGTCTCTTTGAAATCCCACCCGGCTTCCCCTTTACCAAGGACCATCCTCACTATAGAACAGTGAAATTCTTCAGATGAAAATGGGACACGAGGCTACATGTGAAACACTCGTTGCTTGTCCAGATTGCAACAAACTAAAGAAAAAAGGCAGTTTTTGAAGATGTGGATCATTTTAGAGATCTCATAGACCAATAAAGTAAACCAATTCCTTTGCTGAGCGATTTAAAGGTTTTGTTCGATGTTTTACTCATTTTACATGTTGGTTAATTTGTTTGATACGAGAAGATGGCAGGCTGGTGTCCTTTTGGGGTGCTATCCCCATAAACATCATTTGTTAAAATTGTGTTCATTTTAGGAATGACTCTCACAAGTTTCAGTTTACTGACACAACATCTGAGATTTTTTCAAACTTTATTGTAACGTGCAAAAAATGTAAACAAATACGTAAATATAAAGAGTACAAAAGTATTGTGTAATTTACATGCAGTTGTAAACATAATGGGAGGATAAAATATTTTGACATATCCTCTCCCAAGCCAAGGACCAAAAATACTGCAATAAAGATGTTGATATACATATTTGAAGCACCTTAATTCACTCTGAGTTGGTCAAAATGTTGTAATCAGTACATGTGCATGTAGTCATTTTCATACACGGTGTAATAAGACTGATTCATAATTGATTTCAAGTTCTTTGGATAACGTTTGAAAGTTATGCATAATCAGTTTTTGTTCACGCAAATCAAGATTTCAACATCTCATCTCTCCTGCCCCTTTTTGTACTGTTTTCCTTAACAAATACAGTCTGATGAATAATTGAATACAAAGCTGAAATGTCATCCAAAAAGCTAGCTTTCCAAGTATGGCATATTCCCTTCTGTGTTTCTAGCAGACCAACTCGGAAAAAAATATCTTTCAAACTTATACCATAATCCTTCATTGAATCTTTCTGAACAAGTTTCTGAATAACACCAAAAAGTCATTGTACCATGAACATCACACATTTAGGCTTAACAAATTTCTTAATTTTTCCCAACACTTTTTACCATCAAACACCTAATATTTTTAACAAGAGAAATTTCTTTTTCACAATTTTTATTTGGCTGATAGAATTTTTAAAGTCACGCATCACTGATCAAATACTTCAGCCAAGTCAAGCACGAAATGCCCTGAATGTAATGAACTCCACACAAAAATGCCAAATGTTGGTACAAGTGAAAAACAACGTCAATTCTTCCCGAAATACATGTAAATGGACTTGACACCCACTCTTATTGCACGTGACAGGTGTGGCAGCGTTGTAGTCAAGCCCCCATAAACAATGCAGTGCCATCAAAAGACCTCTGGTCTGAATACAAGTCACAAGTTCTTCAAATGAAGTGTAACAAAGGCTTTGGTCACTGTTCACCCAGTCGCATGTATTTGTGACCAGTCTTGAGACTAGTCGTGACGGTCTAAGTTGCACTGTATTGAGTTGCAAAGCTTGAAAGTATGGTTTCCTTCTTCCCTGGTACGTACGCAATGATTCCCACAGGGAAAGCACACATGAACCAGTGAAAATTAAGTCTTCATTTGCCAGAGTTGCTATGTTTAGTGGCACTTTTCTTGAGTTTGTGCAAGGATTTCATAATAGCATAACATTCTTTGTGTCCTCATGTGGCAAAGTTTAGTACTGCTTGATGTTTTTATCAACATTTTCATAAATGTATCTAAACTTGAGTACAAACAGAATGAGGACGGAATACTGTTGAGGAAATACACTCGGCTATTTATGACCCTCGTCACAAACTCTTGAACAGAACTTAGCACCAATTCTTCAGATATTAGCAAATTTTTCAGACCCAAATCCCTAGCTTAATCGATGACCACCAGAAGCTTTTTCCACGATGACATTTACCCCATAGATCAGCTGCTCACTGTCTTTGTTGCCGTTCCGCGTTGCTCCAACATCTGAAGGTTAAAGAAGACAGCTTCTGCATTAGTCGTTACCTCATTCCCAGAACTTTCTCCATATCTGGTCTATCGCCATCTATGATGTTCCTCACTGTACCTACCCCCGTGTCATTTTGGGGAAGGTACATGTAATGACAAAACTGATTCTTTTTTATATATATATACTATATTGCTTTTGTGCACATTCCGTTCAAAACTCACACGTGAATAAGTACACGAATGTAACATGTCCTTTCTTAGTAAGTCACACATCGCCTGCGCCACGTACATAGTGCAAGCATGATAAAAGAATGCAACAGATTAATCCAATGAGACACCAAATTTCACTCAACTTCAGGCACGCGTTTGAAAAGACGCAACATCCTTTTGCTGAAAGAGGCACGTCCCACTAAGATGCTGGTCACCCAAGTAATGGGTTCTCTTTCTGGTTGCCACATCAATCCGTACAGACCGTGCTGAATGAATTATGTAATGGACCAATCAACAAAAGAGATGCGGGTTTGCTTGAGGACAATCACTTCTCACCTGTTTATACTTCGTTATTGCAAGGTCCTTTATCTGAAGGGCATTCTGGAGCTCAATGCTGCCATCCCGTTTTATGAAGACCTGAGATATTAAGCGTAGAACCAGTGTGTAGATAAGCATAAAACATTATCGACGGTTACCGAGAATGAAACATTATAAGCTATAAGCTTTTATGGAAGCACCTTGATGGGCAACAGATTTTTTTTCTGTTTTCTTAGGAAACTGAAAAACTTCCACTGAAGTCAAAACTCTTTGAAGCATATACCGTAGCTCTTAACCAAGTTATTTCTTTTTTCATGGGAAGAACAATAAAAGTAAACTTCATTAGCTTCTTGGAAGAGCTTGGAGTAGCGGTTTGGTAAGTAAGAATTTGAAAAACTACTGGAAAGCAAATGGGCCAATCTATAAATGTGGGATCCAATGTTTTCCTATCCGTTACAGCTGACATGATTTTTCTAAGTTTAGAACATATATTCATTTCCAAGAGCGCTTAAGTAACACAAATTATCAGCCAAACAAATATTTGAATGACATTGAAATCAATGATGAAGTATCAATGAAATTCAGTGATATCCCTCGTCACATTACAAAGGTTAGGTGAACGGGTACATAAAAGTATGTCTCCTGTCCGACCCCCAACTTTATAGCATAACCATATGCATATTAACAAAATGTAGAAATGTTGGGTGAGGGAGGAATTGCCCAGACCGTGACAATACCTTAGGATGAATGTGTATTGTTACACCTTGAACCTTTGATCACAGATTCTGTCTTTCAAATGGCCAGTTCGGTATTCCATCAGCGCATGCCTAAACTGACGAGGTCATTAGGGAACAGCTGCATGCACCTGCAATTGTCTGCCCTCTCAGCCCAGCCATACACCCGCTCCAGCACTGTTAACTTTTTTTTTTACAATCTTAGCCATGCACACCAAAAAAGACGATACCGCAGTTGCTTTGCTCTGAAAATCGCCATTTGCATAGCGACCAAAGTGCCATGGACTAGCAACCACAGTCGTGTATTTGAATATCCCCTTTTTTATGCACTGTGCGCAACTTTTCTGCTTTAAGACAGAGCTCGATGGAAAGTCCTTCCATTGTGGTGAATTTCTGAAGACCACAAGTGACTTCTGAATGAATTCAAAGTCTCAAAGAAGTACTCTTGCATCGGAGTAGCCCTAATCCTCCAAGTTTAGAGGAAATAGCTAATACAGTTTGGGTTGTATAGGACATCCATCTAACTATGCAGAATGTGTGGATGAGGTGTTACAAAATAAACACTGCTCCAACTTGTGGCGCAGTAAAAGGGATCCACTGAGCATTCCATTTTTCCCTTGATTTATTAACCAAACTTTCAACAGATCACCTCGGTAGTTATATTGTACTAGTCAACACTTGTTCACTATCCCTCAACTCAAGAATGTTAAACTTCATGCTTAACACTTGCCTTGTGGTCACCAGTCTCAAAGATATCTGACAGAGTGCCGCCTCTCACAGAGATCTCTACCACCTTGTAGTTGGGAAACACCCTCGCCATGTTCAGTGAACACAGAGGTATAAGTCGCACACTAGATACACACAAAAAAAGTTTTAAAATGCGTATTTTTAACTTTGCCAATTGGGGTGGGGCCTAGGGGCAGGGCAAAATTCTAACTTTGTTTCAGTGTAATATTTGTCTACAAACGTTACATTCAAAGATACACATTCTTTCCTGACTTCACAGTGAACAGGAAAAATTGACTGGAGGGGATTTGATCCTCAAGCGTGCAGTATCGTTGCTCAAAATATTTAAAGTAGCTCGTTGAAGTAGGAATGAGAAAATAACTTAAGACCTACCTGTGTGAAGGTGGTCTCGGCAGAAACTTGTCAAATGTGCGTTGGATGGTGCGCAGTATGTGTTCCTCGTCTTTTGATGAGACGCGCACACCTGTGATAACCCCTGTCAACAGATATCGTCAAGATACTTATGCAATAGGCATTGCTTCGGGGGAGAAAGGTTATATCTAGGTATACATTTTAATCCAGAGACTTTTTTATATTTCTTGTTGCATCTAAGTTCTTCAAAGGGGATAGCCTGTGACTTGCCTTGAAGCCATTTGTCTTGTAACTGGCTAGTGACCTAGGTACTCGCAAGGACCTGACAACAATCTTATGTTCTGCGGTAGCAGGCACCGTGGTCCGCTCTCCCTACAATTGCCCTTGGCACTTCTAACATTGTGTGCATACCCAAAGTTTGCATTCAAGCACATAAAGAACTTTCGCTTGTACAATGCGGTGTTGTAGTCAAGACCATTTACAAGATAAGTTGCAACTAACAGGTGAACAGGAACAAAGGAATGCTTTGTTGCACTCCAGTTGAAAAGCATGGGACTTGACTTCAGACTGGAGATCTTACGACCGTCTTGTGATGGTCTTGAGGGATCTCATCTACAACAGTGGTAGACTGGTTCCTTCCCCAGTTAGCATGAAGGGATGGACACCAGACTATATAGCGCTCCCTCGATCTCCCAGGTACTTGCACTCAAAATCAATGTGAAGAACACATGTGAACCAGTCAAATTCCTTTTTGTCATTCAACACAACGCCCTCTTTTATTCGCGCACAGAGCCTACATTTGTTG